TTGATAAGTATTTCCCTGATTTTATTTATGCTAAAGATGAGAGTACATACGACAGTGCATAAAACATATCACTGAAAAGGTTGGCTTACATATGTGACTAGTAACTAGGGGCAACCCCGAGATTTGGAAGCAATTTATCGATAAGGAAATAAGGAAATAAGGAAAGACTTGCTGGTAAAGAAGCAACAATCCTTTAACAACTTGTAGTGATTCCAAGAAGCAGCTTAATCCTTTGGACTCTCTACATGAAGCAATCTTTGCTAAGTGGCGGCAAGTGCTTTCACTTTATAATAGATATGTGTAATCTTGAACCCTGCGCATTTAAGAATTCTAGTACTTTTTTCCAGTGCTTTTCGATGCTTCCATGGATAATTGTCTCCATTTACAAGTAGTTTGACAAGTACCTGGCTGTCAAATTGTACAATTAATCACTCTTTGTAGCCTCCGCAATACACAAAAATGATCTTCTTAGCTTTTGGTTTCAACAGTTTTATATGGAACAGATTTTCAATTATATTTTTCTCCTGTGAAGAGCAAGGGCGTAGTTGATTAACTCATTAACATTCGAGCAATATGGGTCATTCACAGCCAATGTTTGCAGGAACGTGATCCTACACAGGATCGAAATGAGGTCACAGGTTAGGATCGTAAATGAGATCGGTAGGATCGGAATAGTAGGATCGTAAAATTTTCCAAAATTAATTTTATATTTATATATGTTATGTACGATAAATTACAAAATTATCCTCTTTGTAGACATTTTTACACAACTATATACCAAATGACTACCCAAATGTGCTCAAATTACTACTATGTTACTTTAATAATTAGGTTTTAGTTATCTTCATTAAAGAATTTAATGTCTAAACATTATTATAAATTATAAATGGATAAATTTAATGACTAATAAGTAATATGAGAAGTGTTAAAAACAAATTCTCCATCATTTAAAATTTAAATCAAGAATCCTCACCTGAGATGGTTTAAGAGTTATGATCACACACAAAAACTAATAAAAAAATTTATTAATAAAAAAATTGATACTCTTGGCCAAAGTATCAATTTTCTAATTGATACTCTTGGTCAAAAATTGACTAATAAGTAATTAACTCTTTCTTCTCGGACTGTTTTTTTCAAAACAGAGCAGTTTTTTTTCCAAAACAGAGCAGCAATAAACGCTGCAGCCACAAGAACAGGGCCATGAAAACAGGGAATATTTGAAAACAATCTCTATATCCTCATTTTATCTCTGTTTTTTGAGCGACATATCCTCCAAGAAAAAGCCAAAAAAGTGAATTTATTTGTGGAATCACAAACTGAAGTAACGGGTTGAAAAAATACAGCGAATCGATGGTACCAATAACCAATCCACCTCTTTAAGATTCTGATTTTGCTTCTTATATACTATAATCTTTCTCGGAGTTCAATTTCTTTGAGTTTTACAATCTGTGTTGTCGTTCTTATTTTGCTTTGAATTTGAGCAATTGCTCCAGGATTGGTGGAACAGATAGCATCGAACGATCCCACCGATTACAGTTTCGATTCCGCTGCAAAGATTGATCCTAATCGATTCAGGATCGATTTAATGACCTAGAATCATAGGATCATGCGATTCTGCGATCCTAGATCGTGATCTTGCAAACTATGTTCACAGCAATAGTCATTGAGTTAAGATTAAAATCTTTCTTCTCGAAGTAAACACCATTATGAGCCTTGGAAACTCCCAAACTATATGAAGGAGGGTAACACCATTATAAGTCTCAATGGCAACTATTCATCAGGTCTTATATCTTAATCTGTGATATTAATGTACGGGAGTCATTCAAAATTGATAATGTAAGATTAATATGCGTCAAGGTACATGTTCAAAAATTCATGGGCGAAGGTTGTGCTTTATGCGGATAAGAAATAAACATAGACGTTATATTACCCGAACTCTTCAATTTGCGGAGAATACTCATGTCGTGTCATATTGACATTGGTAGTGGTATAAGTGTCGGGTGTGGCATTTTATACTAAATTGTCCAAAATTTTTAAAATATTGACGAGTCAGACGCTCAGATCCCCACACCCGATATGACACCCGTATCTGAGTCCAGGTAATATAGATAGAATGTCTTCATTTTCAATTCTTAGAAATGATGTTTTTTTTTTTTGTTCTAAAATAAGTATTAAAATCTAGAACTTAGGAAACTATTATTATCGTACGGATATAATTTAATTAGTCTTAACCTATCCCTCAACAAAAAAAGAAAGACTCTTAACCTGCGCCATTAAAACAAACTAATATAATTAATATTATTTATTTTCTAGAGTAAACTTTGGAAATTTGTTGACAAATAAGATATGATGATGATATGCTCATATATGTTTGCTTTTGATAGTTTGATTCTTCATTTTATGGTTACAAATAAAATAAATCTCATCCTGTATGCTCAAAGTTAGGACTGGACTGTCTGGAGATTGAAGGTTCCACGATGGCATAAGCATGGAAATGAGTTATATCAAGATTTTTGGTTATTTTGAATAATTTCCTTTTCTGTCGTCCCTTGCTTTTGTCACGTACTTCCAGAAAATTCTAATAACTTTCAGAATTTTTATTTTGGTACGTACTCTTTGCTATTGGGAAATTTTATAGTGAATTTTGACTTCAAATCGTGAATCATACTTTAGTTTGATTAGATTTTATTTTTCTGTATCTTTCTGCTATTATTAGATCGTTTTGCTGATTTAAAACTAACGTATATTTTCAATTCATTAGTGAGATCTATAAAATCTCACATTATTAGCAGATTTCACTACGGCTTTCAAATGCCAGCTTGAGTTTCATTGAAATATTTTGTACAAACATAAGTTTATACCTGAAGAACAAGCATACAGGCACGTTGCTGTTACCTTGAATATAACAAAAAAGTTGCTTTGAAGGCACCGGGAACTGAAAATGACTTACAAGTTACAACAAATACAATACCCGCTTCAAGCAAACTTTCCACAAATCCCTCAGCTCAAGTCGGCATTGGATTGATCATGTATGAAAGAATCCAACAATTGAACCAAAAAAAAAAAAAAGAAAAAAGAAAAAAAAAAGACTGCTCAAAACGTGCCTTGGTCTGGAGGATTTGAATCGGCAAAATGTGAATGTGCCTCTTAACATGCATTAATTTAGGGTCGTTGAAATGCCATTCTTTGAGCCCTTATCCTTCAGCCCCTTAAAGAAATGAGTTGCTTCTTTCTTCTCTTCGTTCATCTTTAAAGGCAAACCATTTTTCATCTAAACCAGAAGTATCTCCAGCTCCTACATCTTGAAGTAATATTTCATTGGCAGACTTGGTAGACACGCAGTTTAACCTCTAATATGCACGACCATCTCTTCTTAAATAAATTAGTTGTCTTGATAACTGAAGTGATACCTATTCGAGATTTTTTTTTCCGTTTTATTTTTGAAACAAAAACATAGAAAATTATTTATGGTCTAGCTTCTGTGGTGATTAACAAAGTGATAATTAAAATGATATAATTGTTTAAGATTAATAATTTTTTTTTAGCTTGTGCGCTAAGTATCGAGCGAAAGTCGTGCAATAAGCTAGCAAGCTTTTACTCTTTATTTATATGCATGCAATTTTTAGTCGTTTCTTTTCTCTTCATTTTTTCGATCCTACATTTTACATATCTAATATAGTTATATAGACATAAAACCTGTAAATTGAGGGATGCAATTTTAGTTTACTACTTTTCATTTATTGAAACAACTCTTTACGCACACAATTTCAGTATTCGTTTAGTAATACGAGTAAACATTGATCGCTTCTCTCATATATCGATAACTTCAATTTTAAATGTTGTTATCTTCTATTAATCACATCAATTTAATTCCTTGTTATATAGGTTTGTAGTTTTCTTTCTCAGGAACATTTCCGTGGATTACAAACTCATTCATCAACCAGTTGTGAGATAACCTACAAAATGTTAATTGCCTACACAAAATTAGACCAAACCTCGTTTTTCCTCCTTTCTTCGGTCCCCAACTTTGTCCTTCACTTTACCGCGCTTACAACATGAACTAAAAAAATCGCTCTTAATTAAGGTTCGATTCCTGAGTCTATGCTGTATAAACCCAAAAAATGAGGGGAAAAAAACAAAATAAGAAAAACAATGATGGTTGGAAAAACAAAAATTTATAAAGGCTTTGACAAGAAAAATCCTATTTCAATGAATAGAAATAATAATACAACTACTATGTTTAGCAAGAATCGTGCAAATTCTGTGTCTTGTACCGACATTGTATAACATTTCCAAAAGTCGACGTACAAATTAAGTAAACTTACTTTTGCTGCTCCCAATATACGCGATCGATTATTCGATTACGTAAATTTTTGCGTTAAAACACATCTTTTACACATCTTATTTGATGTTGCAGTATTGAAGAATAACCCCCGGAGGTAGCGGAATTGATATCTTATCCATAGTGAGCCCAAAAGGAAAAGGGCCAAAACAAAGTATAATGACCATATGTCGTGTTCATCCATACGAAGTACAAATACTGAAACAAAAAATTCCGTAGGCTCAAAGATATATGCGTTGTATTTTTTATGCTTAAAGAAGATAGATATGTTATATTTCTTATGTCTTAAAATTATTATTTAATTTGATATTTTTCTTTTTTAGTATACTTTTAACTTGAAATGAAAATCAAACTAAACAATAATAATGAGACGGAGGGATATTAATAACAAAAGAAACCGTCTACATGTTTCCAGAGATTCCAAACACTCGCTTTCGCTAACCTATGCCTCCTTCTACGGTGCATCTTTATATAAACATTACTAATAATACTAACATAAAATTAAATTGACTAGGGCAGACTCTCATGCACCTAGTTGTAGCCGGATCGGCTTGAAATTTGATCTGAATGGGAAGACATTCTGAGCACAAAAACCGTTGAACTTCATAACTTTTGTCTCCTGATCAACAATTCCATTAATACTTGTGCTATCTCGGTTTTATTGTTTGATCAAACGCCAGTTACGATTGAGTCTTGAATCATCCACTACCCATAGTTGGTTTTTCCCCTCTTTCTCTGATGTTGTTGCTAATCCTAATTTCCCTTCGTACTCCATTAAAGAACTCTTGAGGCTATTCACCCTTTTAGGAACACAAACCTCACGATAAGTCTCGTCTTCGTGATTGAAAACAACAACGTAACCGTCTGTGGTGAGCCAGTGTATCAATCCATTCACAACTAAGGATTCATTCTGTCGAACAAACAACACCCCTTTTGGTAACACTACGTAGCCAGCCCTCTTCCATGTCCACGTCCTCGAATCAAAGATATTGCATCGATAACCATAGCAATTCGCTGCCCGATAATTCCCGGATAGTGGCGAAAGCGTTACTATCTTAAACGTCAGAGGGTCGGAATTCAACACCACCAAACCGATTTGCTCGGTTGGAAACAGAATCGGATCCGGGTTCGGTATAGTGCACCATTGTCCCGAAGTAGGCTTCCCGACGCAGTAAGTCCTGACAGGGAATTTCTCTGTACGAATGCACAAAATCCCTTCTTTTGAACATGCTTCGATCTTCACATTGTCGAATTTCCCAGAATTCATGTCAATTTTGACATTCTTCTCGTCCAAAGATACCAATTCTTGGACATACTTGCATGATTTCTGATCCTGTAAGAGCACCCAGATATAGTGCTAGTATCCTTGGAGTAAACCATCTTGCAGGCATCCATCGGCTCCATTAATTTGATGATGATAGATGAAAAAGTTGGTTTTGAATAAGAAGTGAGGGAGGAAATCAAAGAAAGCTGGTGATGGAGAAATAGACAAAAGATGGTTTTGATCGATGTAGAATATCAGGTCTATTGGTTTGTATTTATAGAACCCAATTTCTTTTTCCTTTTCCATATCAAATAGGGTTGAATTATTACTACAATTTCCTAATACAAACTGAAAAGGCATCATAGTTTCTGCGTTGGAATCGGATTCTAATTTCTAATCTAAATTACTAATTACCATATCGTTTTTCTTTCTTTTTTGGGTAGTGCATAGTTCGTTAAAAGTCTTTCTTTTTTCTTTTTTTTTTTAATTTTCGTATGTGATGAATTGATTTATTTATATGTTTATTTTGTATAAGTTCATGGCCACGGCGGATTCTTAGTACTCAATTACAACCCTTAGTTGGCAATTTCTCTTTGATAACATGTAATGACATTGATAAGTGTTGCTCTGGACATTACCTTACTCAACTTGTTTAACTTCTTTCTTTTTTTCTTGGTCTATGACATATATAACGTTATCAACATTATATATAATTGCAGAATATTTTCTTTGTTCTGGTAGTCCTTCCCATTTGGATTGCATTTAATTTTTATCAAACATCAAATAATTTGATAATAAATAAGAAAATGATGTTGTAATTTAATGTCCTTTCTCATCTCGTGAAAAAATCAAAAGTTCTCAATTTCTTATTTGATATTAAAAAAATAAAATTAAAAAAAAAACCTCCACTAACTACTTCAAACTGAAGCAGTTTTGCTTGTCTATACAATTTTTTGGTTTCGCATCTTCCTTATGATCCTCTTCCATCATGTTTTTTCCAAATTAATTAAGAATCAATTTATAACTTAATTAATTACCTTTAATAATTTCACCCTTTCGTTCGTTCTGAGGGATTTGTAACCGCACCACCACCACTTTATTATAAATTGAAACCCTCAAATGGTACATATTGTATTCTTCTTGTTAGTTCTAGTAGTTCTACTCCTCTTTCAAATTGCTGAACACATCAGAGCCAACGTTGCATTATCATTCCAATAAAGAGACGATATGTATTTTTTGACCACTGAAAACTAAATTGGCACTCCTTTTTTTTTTTTTATAGTGAGATGCAACTCTTACAAGTACTTCAAAAATTTGTCAATCCATGTCTTCCAGCAAAAATTATACATAGATTTGTTTGCTTTTTTTTTCCGTTTGCTTATTTTCCAATTCTCTTATTCTTATAGGGAAATAGGAGACACAGCTTGCCAAAAACTTACGATGCACAAAATTTTAGACCAAGTTCATATATTGAACCCATCCATAAAGCATAGAGTACCAAACTACCAATACCGAGAATGATGGCTCGATAAGTGGTTTCAAAATACAATTATGAACACATGGTATTTCAATTTAGTTTCAATAGTATATTTCAATAGTATATCTATTTACAAGAAACTATTGATTCTCCAAGAAAGCCCTAGCCCCTAAGTAATAATCATTTACGCATTTTTTGATGATTTTGTCTTTATTATGAATTTTCTAACTCTTTTCTAAGTATTTCGCGTTCTTTTTTTTTTTTTTTGGTCTAATTGGAAATGAGTTGAAGATTGAAGTTTTGAAGAGTTCTTATAAGTCCTATTGTTTGTAAATTTGATTTATTTTGTGACTTTCTTAATATAAAATGTTTAGAGAAATGTATACTTAATTTCTGATATCTTGTTCATTAATTTATTCAGACACATGATTGTTAAATTAGTTTAACTCTCTCTGATTTTGGGTGAAGAAATTTTTCTTCACATATAAATTTCTCCAAAGGTGTAGAATTTTCTTCAAAATTCTACTTTTACGATGTCTGTTACTTTTAATTAAGTAAATTTATGTTTCCCTTTTGATTCATATTAAGTGACTATATATTTCTTACATTTTATTATTACAAGCACGCGCAAAGCGCGTGTGGTTCCTCTAGTACTGAGTAAACATTACATTTCATGCATAAATAGTCACTTAATTATTTAAAAATCCCATAAATTGGGTCTCCACTGCCGCGGCGGTACAATTAAAACAATGGATTTAGCCATATTTATTACTTAAAAAAATAAAGCCTAACCAAAAACGTTAAGTAGGCGTTTAAAATTTAACAAATTCTGTTAATATGACTAAATTGACTCAATCAGTATAGGCAGGGATAATAACTTGATGAAATAGATACGTACATACCTTGGGACTAATTCATCATTCTTCAACAAAAATCCCTCAATTTTCCAGGGTTTGTATAATTTATTTTTCTGCACTAATTACGTTAAATCTTCTCAAATTTGTCTCCCTTCGTAGATCTGGCATAATGAATTGTTTTCAACTGCTCCATGAAGAATTGTTCTGATGCGGCTCTCCTCCGCATTTTCCCTTAGTTTCTCTTTTTACATGTCAGCATTCTCCTCTAGAGCTTCTCATCACCTCCTTTCTTCATATATATATACATATATATATGTATATATGCAGTGAAATGAAAATATACATTCAACCTTAATTATGTGACGGGCGATAGAACATTTTGCTTTGTAATGTTTGCTTGTCTCATTTCATGAAATTGTTTCACCTCTCTACCCTTAAATTTTTTTCTCCAAAAAAGGCTACAAGTGTTGAGTTTCCCACATCGGTGGTGAGACAGATTTTCGAGACAATCTGAATGTTCGTTTACCTCCCGTTCAGATTGCGGGGGGATGTTAATGTATATGTGTTAGGGTTAGTTTAGGGGCATTGTTGTAATCTTGTTATTGCCATGTACACTATATATATTGTTGTATCAATACAGTAAAACCCTAATGGGTTTTCACTTTTATAACAAGGAGCCTTCGGGATTTCCGATCAGCAATATACATTTGACACTACCATATATTGATTGGTTCAACACTTCAACTTTACATCCCAAATATATATATATATATATATATATGAAAATGCGCTAATACATTCGCACCTAACATGCATGATTGATTGTACGAAAGGATAGAGTATATTGATTGAAAATTTTGAAGGAGCACAGTTTCAATTTATTCTCAGGGGAAGGAAAAACGAAGGATCAGATAGATCATGGATTTGACGGAGTTCATTAATTAATGAAATAGGGATGGACATCGATATACTAAAACATATTAGAGTCATTCAAACAATTATTTTGAGACGAAATAATTTTAAAAAATATTTGATTATTTCATCGATATAAAATGTATCAGGAATTATTCATGGCGGGCATCAAGACGACCGGTGTAGTATTGCAGTGGCCAGTGGGCAATGGCAGAACTGATAAACCACCAAACCATATTCAAGAAGCTTAGGGAAGAAATCAATGGGGTTGTTGGAAGCAAAATGCTACTCGAGGAATCGGACATCCCGAGCCTTCCATACTTGCAAGCCATCATTACAGAGACCCTAAGGTTACATCCTTTAGCGTCCTTAATTTTTTGAAGATGCGACAAAGACTGCAAGATAATGGTTTACAGAAAAACATGAACAACACGATCAATATCAGATGGATTTGAAAAGGCCAGAATTTGAGTCTTTTACCTTTTGAAAGTGGAAGAAGAGGTTGTCCTTTGGCTTCTTTTGGATTATCAGTAATTCATGTCATGGTTGCGACACTTGTTCATGTTTTGACTTTAAGGTTGAAGGTGAGGAAAGGCCAAAAACATGCATGGAAGAAGGGACTAGTTTTTCTAGTGCCGTGGCTCATCCACTTCTTCGCTACGTTATTATTAATGTTGCACAATTCAATTCTTTAAAATCATTTTCATGGAGAAGCTAGCATTGACACAAGACACGGTTTCGAGATGGAAGGAATAATGAATATTATTAGTTTTTAACTTGAAAAAGAGAAAAAGAAACAAGTCTAGAGTAAAAGAGAAAAAGAAACAGTTTGGTTCATTATGAGATTTTGTCTAGAGTAAACTACTTTTCATTTACGGAAACAAGTCTTTCAACTAATCTTTTATATCTTGATGGCCGTGCTTTATGCAGGCCAAACATTGTTTGTTTCACTCATGTGTCAATAAATTCATTTTTTACTTCTATTATGAACTAATCTTTTAATATCTGACATTTAATTCAGTTAGTTTTTTCTTTCTCAACAAGGCTAAATGCATTAAAGAGAAATCCAAATAGTATTATCTTCCTGGATAATTTTAGGTCTGACAAGTTTTAACACCTTCTCTTTCTTCAAATTTTGGCCTATACGGATTTTAACAAGAGACGGGTTAGTAACAACAGAGATGTCCACCGCTAGACCCAGATAGTATATTAATTTTTACTTTTTTTTTTTTTGAAGATGAGTATATTAATGTTATACTTACAACATAATGCACGACATATGAATTGATTTTTAAGTTTCTCATAAAATTGGGGCGGGTCAACTTGAACGGGTTAGATTTTAAATACTTCCACATTGTAACACTTCGAATGTATTGATTACAATGGGATTTGTTGAGGTCATTGTAAAGTTGAGAATTAATTATAGCAATCTAACCTCTTACAAAAATGAAGTAGGGATTTAGTCTGGCCTTATAAATGGGCAAAAAACCTAGAATTGTGTTGTTTTGTCTGTAGGATGGTTTTGTATGTTGGGTTTTTTTTTCCCCCAAGTCTAAAATGAAGCCATGTACTTTCCATAATTTATCAAAAGCCTCCCTCCTCCATTAGTTGTAAGATAACTTACAAATTGTTGTCTACACAAAATTAAACCAAATATCTCTTTTTTTTTTCCCTTTATGCTCTAAAAGAATAGCTCTTAAAAAGGTTCGGTTCCTGAGCCAAGAACCCTAACGGATTCAACCGATGGATCAAGAACGGCGTTGAATTGCTTCGGTTGATGATGCCCTCGTGCGATCGTCATGGGTTTCTCCTGATCCTCCTCTTCTTCGTACTCGTAGAGTATCGCCATCAGATAGGATTGCTACCAAGAGCTGGTGTTTTAGGGTTTATGATGACACTTGTATCTTAGCTTAACCTTTTGTTTGCATAACGTAAATAATGAGTCTATGATGTTTAAACCTTAAAAACAAACAATGAGTCAATAATGTATAAACCCAAGAAACAAACATGGTGGTCGATATAAAAAGAAAAAAGAAAAAAACAAGAGACATTTGAAAAGGAAAAATATTATTATTATTATTATTATTATTATTATTATTATTATTATTATTATTTTTGAAAATGAAATGAAGTAACTCTTGTAATAATAAAACTATTGTGTTTAGTAATTATCGTGCGAATCCCGTGTCTTATGTAACCGAACATTAATGTTAACAAGTTCAAAGTTTCATCATAATTTGAAAGTGTACGACGAAGAATTGTGCAGCAAAAGATTAGCAAAATTTTAAATTTACCGAAAAAGTTACCAATAAATTAGGAAATCATGATACTTTTGTTATGTGATGGGTATTTTCCTACGCTAATTTTTTTTCATAATTATATTCTCTTTTCTTTCTTTCTTTCTTTCATTAGTGTGAAAAAGAGATGTACTTACCGATCTGCTTTAAATTCTCAAGCGCTATGTATGCACTATAATTTTTTTTTATTAATATTTGAATGGCTATACCTGAACTTCACCCTATAATTATAAAAGCTTGGTACATTACAAATGATCCTGAAAAGATGTACTTCCTGCATATAATGGTTTTAACAGGATCAATCCGTACTTTTCATTAGAGTTTAAGAATATTAAGTTTCTCTTATCTTTTTTTTTTTTTTCCAAATCGTACTTATTTAGTCGATCAAATTCTAACTTTTTCTCTAGGGCATCAGATACGTATTTGCCAGGCTTGCTGATTGCTGATTGCTGATTGCTATTACAAAACAACAACATACTCGTTATACTAGAATTTTGTTCGGGTTTGGAGATCAAGATGTAGTAGTTTCAACCCCTTATAATATTATATAGAGAAACTGTTTAAATATGATGGGACAAATTGCTATTGCAAAAAAAAATTAAAATAAAATTATCTTTTATCAATTTTGATTTTTGAGAAGTATTCAGTTTCTTCTAGGGGATTAATAATGAGATGGTTTGGTTCATCTAATATAAATAAAGGACAATATCATTCGAGATGTTTTGATAGATTGAAATAACTCTTTTAAGGCAAGATACATGTTCATTCACATTAATTTTGGGCTACAGTAGTGCATGCGTTGGGTAATCATTCGACTTTAATACATTTTTCGTTATAGTTTTAACATTGCCAATCCTCGAATTCGGCATTCCTAATGTTGCACCTTTTATTATTAGTTCTTTCTAATTGAACAAAGATCGTGCTAGGTTTTCTTTTCTTTTTTTTTTTTTTGTCTCTCTATGTTCTTGTACCTGGCTAGCTATTCGTTTTGGAAAATTTGTTGAAGACTAAAAGAAATTTGTTATGAAGAATTGAAACTTTACAAGGAATAGATCTTCCCGTTTTTACCAGTAAGTAGGATAAGAATATTTGAAGTTTTAAACCCTTGGATGTTCAGGGGCATCTGTCCAACCCGCAGCGAACGTATGACAAGACAGTTTCAACATGTCTGTTATTATACTCCGTCCGTCTCAAAATTATTGTCCAGTTTAACATTTCACTTTTAGTATAATTTGAACTAGAAATGAAAATCCAAACTGGATAATAATTATGGATCGGAGGGAGTACTATTTTATAAATGAGAATTAATTCTTTGAGCATTTGAAATATCTCCAATGATGGTATAGTCCTTGGATTTGTCATGATATTCTTTGTGGTTTTTTTTCATAGAATCCACCAATAATTTAAGAAAACTTATAATTGAATCCAATTGGCACAAATGATCATTCAGCTACCTTCTTCGCCACCGTCTTGACTCTTTTCCAGCTTGTCCTCATTTTTGAAGATTGTGAAAGTGGGGAAATAAACTTTAGTCCAAATCCTCATCTGTGTCTTCAGTTTTCACCATATTTTCATTAAAGAAGTATCAATGACATTATTAAAATTTCCGGAGACTAAGTCCATTCTCTTAAATTGGAAATGTCATTCTTTTCTACGATCTTCAATGGCAAAATTTTGATTAGGGCATGGTAAAAAATAATAAATTATTAAGAAGGGAATCTATTTAATAAAGTCATGACTACGAATATGTAAATAATTATACTAATGTTTGGATTCAAATAAGACTAATTCATCCTTCCATTCCCGAAGGATAGAAGAGAATTTGCTCTTCTTCAACGACATGTCCATCCATCAAAACTTCAATCCTGAATCTTAGATAGGCCCTCATGTTGTCCTCTTCAGCAGATTTAATAATCTATTTTCTATATCCTCACCTAAAATTCTTATTAAGAACTCGCAACAGTTCTCCAATCCTTCACAATGCAGTAGATTTCGGAACTCCAATTCCTCCAAATGATGGTTTAGGTTTTGAATGAGGTCGTGGGTTCTCTCGATTACAAATGAATGGTGCCCGATACCATGATCTTGGTGTGCTGTTTCATGGGACAATCGGGGATACAACTTTGGTTTTGTGTATTTAAGGTATGTGATATGATTATGTTCAAGTCAATTTTTCCAAGTTGACAACCATGATTCCTGGTGTTTGGGAGTCCTTTGTTCTTCCGCTGCTCCGCATATATGCATATATTAATCTCCACGAGAGTAGTTCCTGAATCTTGATTGAAAAGATTGTCTCTTCAATTCCTTTTTGTTACTGAAATTTCAAGATTTGGGGAATGAATTTGGTCTTTTAGAAAATTAAAAATAAAATAAAAATAAAAATTTTTGTGTTACCGCGCGAAAATTGTGCATGTCTTTTATCATGCATGCACTACTAATTTTTTTTATTAAAACTATTCAGCATTTCCCTCATGTCGTAGTGATTGTATCATAACGCTTTGTTATTAAATTTAAAAACCAATCAGACACCTTAATTCTATACTGTCTTTACTTTTTACAAGTTTGTAACTTTAAACTTACGCAACACCTTTTTAATTTTTTTTTTTTTTTTTTTGTGAATAGGTGAAGCACTACCATGCATATCCGTCCAGTAATCACCTAAAAAGAGAATGAATAGTGATCAACTGAAAGCTAGGAATGAACATTATTTAGAAAAAAAAAACGTTAAGTAGGCCAAGATATATGAACACACACATATATACATATACATATATATATATACATACATATATATATATAGACATACATATATATATATATATATATATATTTATAAGGTTTAACAAGAAAAAGCAAACAGAAAGTCACTCCCATAGACATACATATATATATATATATATATATATATATATATATATTTATAAGGTTTAACAAGAAAAAGCAAACAGAAAGTCACTCCCAAAGAATATATAAAGGCACCATTTGCCACTACTATTCGATATATAAAGCGCAAGAATCGAAGAGAAATGCTTCAAAAACAATGAGCTAAACAATGTTATCTGGGAGACATAATCTCTAGGGTACGTTCTTACAAGACTGGAAATTTATATTTATATTAAAAAAAAATCAATTTGTAACTCTATCTTTTTTCTCTAACGTTAAAACCTCTTAGATTATAACTACACTAAGCCTGGCAGCTGAGACCGTTGTTTATATCCTTTGGTTTTACCATATTTAAGACCCTCTCTTCCTTTTGTGTGTAATCTCCTTGTCCATTCGCCGTCACTCCTTCTCAGTCCCTCTCTCTTCTCTCCCATTGTCCTTCATTTTCCTTTCCACCATTTTCTCCGTCTCATAAAAATAAAAATAAATAATAAGAGATATTCTCTTATTATCATTATGTTGACACTCACTATATTTCAATCCTTGAGTATTTATTATTAAAAATTGTTACACTTCACCGTTGACGGGGCAATCATTGGGTAAGATTTGTGCTTTATGCAGCCAAAGGATACAATTTCATGTTTTGGGGTAAAACTGATGATAGTAAATTGTGTGTTGAGCACAAACGGATATAAATTGAATAGGTCAAGTAATCAAAGTTTTTACCTAAACGATCTAATCTAATTCCTTGAGAAGTTTTGAACAATTATAGTTCAAAAGCTACAACATATGAACTATATTTGCAATGAGTTCGATCGGTAAACAACACATTTTACTATATATGCTTGGAACATACATATGTTTTGAAGAGATTGTCAATACTTAGGCGAAAAATCGAGGTTCTTCGAAGGAGGGAAAAGGGTGGCAATTGCAGGTAAAAAATAGAATGGTGGAATAATATTCCTTTCAAATTAAATTTGAACAAAGAAATTTCTCATTTTTTGGAAACGTTAATTGGTGGCTGGTTAATGTACTTGCGACATTCATAATGAAAATTGTACTCCCTCCGTCCCATAATTATTGTCCAGTTTGAATTTTCATTTTTAGTTTAAATTATACTAAAAGTGAAATATTAAACTGAACAATAATTTTGGGACAGAGAGAGTAACTTATAACGACTCTTTTAATTGTTTCCCTGTTTTACTGATAAGATAGGAAGTTAAATAGAGAGGGTTTTCTTCAAGAAAAAATAAAATAATGTACCGAGCTTCAAGACATACATTAAGGAAGTAGAACTTCCACTTAAGAAGCACATGTTCTTAAACAGCGAAGGCAATTTTGATAGCGCAAAAACGCGAGGGAAGACGTTGGAAAGAGGTAATCATCATGTTTAGGTTTGCTAACTCTTTACTTTCCTTCAGCAGATATACCAATCAACAAAATGATTTAGCAGATGCAGCAAGAGAAACTGTATGTTGCTGAGTGCTGACAAAGAGTGAAAGCCACCTTTTGGCATTTTCCAAAACCTTCCACATTTGGATAAGTAGGCATGGGTTAGTTATCTCCAATTCAAAGCTGAAAAGCATACCTAGAATTAGCTTTACAAACTGGAGCCTAGCCTGGCCTTACCCTATAATGAGGTTCTTGATTTCGAGAAAGCGTAACCTACGTGCAAGGAAAATGGACTGCTTCACTTATATATGATGCATCGTTACAGGGTTATAAAATTTTATCCGTAACCATTGAAATTTCACGTCATCAATTGCTGCAAACTAAACGAATATGTACACCTTGATTATGTTCATTGTAGTTTTACATGGGATGTAACTCAGACTTATAGATTAAATCTCTCAAATAATCGGGTCCTAGTTCCATCAAAACCTGCGGAAAAAAACAATATTATCAGGTTTGCTAATTGGCTGCAGTGATGGGCTGATAGCTATGGAATTAACAAAATTTGAACCAGACCTTTCCCCCCAACACCAACCCCCAAACAAAGTTCTTGAATAGGTAACAGAATGGCATGTAAAGCATAAGATACACCCATGAATGAACTTGTGTGTTCTGTCTAAGAGATAGTATATTATATCAGGGAGAATGGGCATTTTCATCCTAAGGTTTGAGCCACACCATTTAAAACATCCCAAAGTTTAAAAGTATGTCATTTTCATTCCAAACTTTTCAAAAATATGTAATATTAGGACATTTGTTAATTTTTTCAAGTTATTAACGGCGATATTTCATTCAGTTTTTTTTCCCCCATTTTTTTTTAGTCAAAAAAGTTTCATGCTTGCGTTTGTTAAATTTGGTCCATGCCAAGCAAAAAAGTTGTATGCCCCTGTATCAATTACAACACCAATTTTTATAATGACGCTATATATTTAAAAAAATAAATGAAATAGAGTTTACTTTCTAGGACACACACAAAACCTCTCATGATTGTTATCAATCTAGAAGGTGAATCTTGGATTTTTTTATTTTTTTTTTTCTTTTTCTAAGCAAGGGAAGAATGGATGATGTGAAGACCAAATTAGGTTTAGCTATTTTTCTTATAAGGTGAGAGTTAGTGGAACCTGTTAAATAATTAAAAGAATGGGAGAGGAGAAACAAAATAAAGTACCACCACTAGTTAATTAATTGGAGTTAAAAATTTAACGAATATCCTAATGTAACATGTTTTTTAAAAAGTTTGGGATGTAAATGACATGTTCTTAAACTTTGGGATATTTTGGATGGTGTGGCCCAAACTTTGGGATGAAAAGACCCATTTTCTCTATTATATCATGTCCATCCCAAAAAGTTGAGGGTTGGAAACCTAAAACTTTCAGTGGCAGGACTCTGTAGAAGGCGCACCAAATGCATGGACTCAAAAGCGTGCGGTGAGTAAACCACTTAGTCATCAATTCCCTTTTGAGTGTTTCCAGCTTATTAAGTATCCAGAGAGAGATCTTAGAGATTTGCAGAAACATTTTTCACGGCTTTGGCTTATGTAAAGCGTTTCTCAATAACATCAAAAACCTAGTATGGTTTTCTCAAGGAGTCCTTAAAATTTTTCTAATTCCATATTTCTCATCACCATTTTCTTTAGTGGTTAAAGATTCCAGAATCCCACTTAAGAAACATGCAAGAAGAAAAGGAAAAAGTTCAAACCTCATTCGCATCTTTGAAGCTGCTGAGTTCATCTCTCTTTGGCCATATTACCTTCCAGCATCTGATTGTACACAAATAACGTATAAGGAAAGAAACTAAATGCATTTCAGAGTTACCGCACTTTCATAAGAATTGAATTAATCTTTAACCCCTGAAGTAGAAACTTGATGAGCGGGTCACGCATATTAATCAGTAAAGGAAGCAAGTTAAACTGCTAGGCATTGATTTGAAAACATTTTAAAATAGTTTCTACGCTTTGTTTTACTATCCCAAGCAAGAACAAGATATTTAGTTAATCTCCTTTTGCATCAAACAATAACCCAAATGACACATAATTTTATTTGAACTCCAGATTAGAGAGCAGTATGTACCTTTCCCTTCCCATTCGGCGTGCTAGTTCTTCAGCCAATGATTGACCAGGTGCATCAGCATCAGTGGCAAGTATTATGCGGGAAGCCTAATGAAAAATAATAGGGAGTAAATGGGTAACATGCCAACTCTTTTATGATTTTGAATTACACGAGACGATAGAGAGTTCTCACATTAACTTAAGACTACATACCTTGTCAAAGTACTCTTTGCAATTCCAAACATACTGAAAACCTTTGTCCTGGTTCATGAATGATACAGAGGAAAAAAGAAGATTAAAAAACACGGAATATTCTGAAACCTAAAATATTGTAACTGGGTCAAACTTTTTATTAATTCATACAATCCTTAAACACCAAATCTAGGTAGCACAACTACCACAAGTCTGAATGTAGAATGTCAATGTAAGTATTTGTTCTGTAATATCGTCTTATGCGTATTTGTTCTGTAATAACCTCTTACGCAAAGATGTCAATGAAGTCAGTCTAGAATCTAATAGTTGTAGTTTTCCAACTCCTTGAACTGGCCGTTTCTAAAAGGATCTCTAATTAGAATGAGGCATGCAATGAATATAGTCCTAATATGCACTCCCAAAGACCATGCTATAAGGGGATCATATTTAATTAAGGGAATGAAAAAGGTTTTATTTGATCACAACCGAAAAGTTATCACTCTTATGTCTGAAACCACAGCTTTGGTAGTTTAAACATCATTTATTATTATTTCAGAGATTTGGATTAAACCTTTTCCACAGCTGGTAGTTCCTCGGAAACTTTCTCAGGCGCACCTCCTGGAACAGCCACGCAATTAGAAATGCCAGCCTCTTCCATAGATAGCTTGTCCACTTCACCTTCAACCTTTGATAGGAATTAAAGATGTCAAAATGAACATCACAAGAATATAGAGCTGTAAACTTTATGATAGATGTAGTGCTTACGATGATTATATCATATGCTTCTCTTATATCATCAAGTCCATAGAATACCTGCTCTGTTCCCTTCTCCTAAAAGTGCAAAGAAGGAATTTTAGCAAATGTAGACAGATATAGATTTGAACTTAACAACCAAAGAGTTGTAATGTCACTTCAGGAAAAAATCTGACAGACTAAAGATATTTAGTAAGACAGAATTGGCATAGTAGTTCTTCAAAGGAAAGACAGCCGAGTGCATTGTAACTCGTGCAACCCAAAAATGCTAAATAGAAAGCAAAGAAAACAACTGTGTGTTATGCATTTCGCTACTTAAACATGGTTGTTGACCAGATTAAAAACTTTAGGCAAGTCCTAAATAGGATTAAGTGAGGCAGACTGGTGGCGCAAACTCTCAGATTGGTGTAACCATCAAAGCAATACCCCTACTTTTAGATCATATGCTGAATCTTATCCTGCTTGAGAAGAAGCAGACTCTACCCACACCTCTCCTTCTCCTTCTCCCTCTGTGTGTGTGTGAGAGATTTACAATTAGAGAAATACACATTTATTGTATTCTTGAATTAATCTTAATCATAATCAATCCCTGGTGCTGGAAGGTCCCCACTTTGCTTGAGAGGGTATGGGGAGGGACATTTGACCGCAAGGTTATGCTTGAGATATTGCTTACCCAAAAAAAGTATTTAGAGAGGCCAGAAAACAACTGCCATATAGGGCTTCGTTTCGCTGTTCATTATTGTGTCATGAGACATCAAAGGATAAGAAAGAAATGTTACCTGCCAAAATCTTTTCTTAAGATTTCGGTACTTGCAACCTACAAGGATCTTATTTCTCCAATAGGTAAAAGCAATAACCTGTATTTGGACAAAATGGGACATTAGTGAATATGCATTCTAAATTGAAGCTTAGAAGAGCTCAGTCTCTACAAAATTGGTCTTTCACTGAAGATAAACATGTGACAACCGTTAATGAGGACTTATTATCTGCAGCTAAAACTAAAAGAGGAGTTATGCACATAATGAATCTTATTAGTTATTTTGACCAAATACTTCAAATAGTCGCATTCATAAACTTTAGTATCTAGTTCACCGTTTTACCATAAACTCTGTAGAAAGAAAGGAAAAATGAAGGTGACATGAAATCGTTTGGTTGATGCTAGAAATGATGATTACTCATTTCTATAAAATTAAATGGTACGAGTGCCCGAAGATGGAGCAATTATGATCATGTGTGAGGCTTCTGCTAAATTGTGTTTCGCTTATACTAAATTCAGTATCTATATCACCAAAATTGTAGACAAGCTGACATATTATTAGACAAAAGAAAGGCTTAACAATTACATTTATGAGAACAAAGAAGAGGCTAAGTTGTTAGCAACCTAGGTTTCAGAGAGGTTGGACATAAACCTTGCAATGTTAATAGTGTAAAATTGTTAAAATAATTAAACGATTCGAAGAGCTACACCAGCAAAGACAATGGGCCTCTGGAATGAAACTTAAGAGTCACTTTAACATACTAAAGGCTTCCTCAACCTTACAATCAAGCTTCCCAGAAATGGTAACATACTACAATCAGCCACGGAAAATCCATTCAAACCATTTCCAGTGCAGTGAGGCATGCTTCTGCAGCACTAATTTTCTGCTATCCAGAAAGTGCAAGGAAGCGAATCTTTCTACATTGGCTGACATTACTAAATTCCCTATAACTTCCAAAGGAAATATGCACCTAGTAATGGGGTTAGATAGTACTGGCCAGGTTTTCTGTCCATAATCAATGCTAAGAGAGTTTCAATCAACCGTTAATAGCATACTTATTTTGACAAATCTGGCTATAACTGCAAAAATACCTGCTCAACAAAATTATACATCTCAGTATCTCACCTTTTCACCAGCGATTTGCATAACATGATTTTTCTCCAAAATTTCTCTTGATATCCTTCTCTCAGAAAAGTATCTAATCAGCTGAACAATGCAGAAAAGATAAGCTAAGATCAGTATACAGACAAACTAGTACAACAAAACGCAGCCAGAAACATGAAATCCTTTTAGTTAGGAAACTATGCATGGTGTATTTTACAAGAAATTTTGGACCACAAAATTCCTTTTCTCAAGTCAGAAAGTACTTGATAAGTTGTCTACTTTCTCTCTTAAGTTTCTTTCGTGCTATTTCGTCGCAATTTGTTCCGAAAGAACTTTGTCTCAGTTTGTAAACTGTCAACTATTATTGTATCAATCTATTGAAACTACTGAGAAAGTGGTAAGTGTGTCTTTATAGCCCTGATTTTTCGAAGTTAAAGAGTGATGAGCACAGGTGAATCCACTTCTAAATTCATACTCAGAGAACAATCCAACTAATTTGAGCTTAACAAAAGACACTAACAGGCCAAGACAAAGAAATATCTAAGCCACAGTGGTTAAAAATTTATGACTAGTTAAATAGACTGTAGAAAGGGTTAAACTATTCTTATTTAGAAGGATACATTAAAACAGGTTAGTAATTACCTTATCATCTAATGGTTTCAAATTTAGGGATTGTACTGTAATTGGCCGAAAGGAGAGCTTTTTCCGAAGACCACCACTTCTGATGTCCTGAGAATCTAAAAGGACCTGAAACCACAGTCAGTATAGTGCAAATTCCTTTCAGTGATTTGGAATGTCTATAAAAGGTGGGAAATAATAAAACAATATCTTTGAATACCTGGCCTGACCACCCACATTCATCCGCAAAACACCTCCAAAGAGATAAATTTCTGAGAAGAAGGCCACACAATATCGATAACGTATCATCCATGAGTAGCAAAATAAATCATTCAAGGAAGAAAGCACAGTAGCATACTTGTTATAGTCGACATAGAAGGACAGGGTCCTCTTTGTTGATTGTCCGCATTTGCACTGCCCAAAACAAATATTTACATAAGCAAAATATGCACCTAGAACAACATGATCAAGTTCAGATTCTATAAATTTAATTTCCGGAACCTATAGCAGTAGCTTCTTCATTTAACTTTGGTCCAATTTAATGCAGGCAATAGGCATCATGTTTTGAAAACATTCAAGTGAATTCCAGCATTGCAGTTCCTTATTAAAGCATCAAGTAACAATACAAAACAAAATATCAACTACATCAAAGCTATGGTAACTGGAATTTCATCAACATTATCGAACGAGACCAAGTGAACTTGTTACTTAAACAGAGTTTTAAGTTTAATACCTTAGGACATATTAAAAGATGGAACTGCCCAGGTTTGCAAGAACTGAAATCGATACCCTGTTCTTCAATTCTCCGCTTTAATTCATAAGAACAATCACTGCTATCCTCTTCTTCTTCATGATTCCGGACATTATCTTCCTCTAGAAAGTGGAAAACACTTTAGAATATAAAAGGGGGGAAAAAAGAAAGTTTTCAGATTCAGACCTGTCGGTTTCAAAGCATGAGGAATGGAGGCCAGCCCACGATTGAGGAGTGAAGTAATTGAGATGGGAATGGAGGCGAGCCCACGATTGTGGAGTGAAGTAATTGAGATGGGCTTCGAGGAACACGGCAGATAGGTACGAGGAAAAGCTGTTAATCGACAATGAACCGTAGAGTGATACGAACGAATGCTTGAAATTATGGCAGTGATGTTACGGTGCAGTATTCTTGGATGCATTTGGAAGAGCTTCGTTTTCGAGAGTGATGCAGGGTGACAAAGATAACGTTGATGACTACTGATTTTAGTAGCTATTTATACTTTTGTAGAGAAAATTAGGGTATTATTTTTTCCGAAACCATTTCGCCGTTCAAAATGATCTTATACATTTATGTAAAATTGACCAAGAAAAATATACATCCTGGGTCAAGTTCAATTTCTGAGTTATGTTTTAATATCATTAATTACATAAAGACGATCATAGTAATAACAATGTCTGGATTATTGTAATATAACATGAATATCATTGATTAATGAGGGACAGTTATAGCAAAATAGTTTAGCTGCTATTTTTACCCATGCAACTTTTAAGAAGAGAGAGCATCAATATTTTCATTTTTCAAGTCTTCAACAAGAAAATAACCAGAACAAAAAGAATGTTGGAAAACTATGGCATGAAACATTGAAAATGGCTGCATTGAGCTGCAGGTAAACCATTTCAAAGACGAGCAAATCTCGAGTTACTTGTTCCTCGCAGATTCTCGTATCTACAAACAATGCTGCAGTTAGTTTCATACACTATCTAAATCAAAAGTTTCCCCCCAAAAAACCAACAGAATTAGACACTAAAAAAGGAGGTCTAAAGAGTAAGGACTGGATAATTTAGTCAGATAACTAGGACCTCGTCAAAAGCAAAAAAGATTCCACAGCAGATTGCGGTCTTCAGCCTGTCAGAGGGATTTAAATTTGCTAAGCCTACACTACTTAGATTCTGGAATTGCTGCTGCATCAAGCAGCCAATTGCCTTCAAATTTGCGCCCCTTCTCAGCTGTGAGCCGGATAGCTGGAATCTGATGTGAGAACCTCCCCAACTCATGAAATGGAACATTAATTACTTCAGAAACGGTCTGTTTCTTGAAAGATCTGAAGACAAGTTTATAATCAGGAGTCAATGCTACAAGAGGTGAAACTTGTATGTGGTCCTTGTCGACTTCTATGATCTCCACTGGCCTATATGCACAGTTTTTCAGTGCAGATGGTGTTGATTCAGCAGTCCAATCCCTGTACAATGCCCAAACCTCTCCCACCTTTGGATAAATCAAAAGCTCATTCTTTTTCACTTTCGGTTCCAGTTGATGTGAGAACAGAGAGGATTCAAACACTCGGGGTTTTCCACCTTTCACTTTGAAAATCCCACAAACACACTGTCGTTTATTCTCAGGTGGTGATATTAGTTCAAGTGGTGCAACGTGCAACCTAAAAGGGGAGCGATCAACTCTCTTGATTTGACCATACATTTTCGGTAACTTTTGCTCAGGCGTGTAGAGTGCCCAAATCTGATTTACTTCAAACTTTTTCTCTGATCTGTTCTCCCCAAAGTCATGAAGCAAATTCTCCGACACCTTGCGACCGGGAGATGAAGATTGATACACGCTGTTGCTTTTGCCTAGGCTTAACCCTTTCCTTTCTTTACCTCTTCTTTTGTCAACTTGAGCAGTTGCAACTCCATCTGTGAAAAGAGAAAAGTCACTCTTGGATTCTTCACAATTTACATGACCTGAAGATTCTGATCCTGCTGACGTATCCATCTGCCTGTTCTCCCCCACAATCTTCAGACCCCTAGGAGACTTACGAAGCCTAAAATTCTCACCTCCAACACCAATTTCCCTCATAGAGTCTGTACGCTTCTTTGGAGCGTTCTCATCCTCAGAAAATTTGGGCTTACTCATTTCGGGTGGCTCACGAATGGTACAATTAGCTTCACCACTTCTGTTTCCAATACCAGCATCAGAGACCGACGGCAAACAGGCATCATCACAATTGGCAAGACCTGCAGGATCAAGTTCTAAGGACCCTTCTAAGACGCCTTCCTTTTCCTGGCCTGTCATTTTAAAAGAAGGGATACGATACGAAAATCTAAAAATTTCGGTTGCCGGTACCAAAACTGAAACAGCCCCGTTCTTATTTCTTCGCTCAAACAGACTCACAAAGCCATTGAGTTTTTCCAAAAATACGACTTCAATGCCAACACCTTCTACAAATTCAGAGACAACCTCCGCTATTTCATACTTACATTTCTTGTACTCATCGGTGCTCCATCTGATATTCCAATCCTTAAAAAGTGCCCAAGTCTCTCCCTTTCTAGGATAAACCATGAAAGTGACTCTCCCGCCCTTCTTACTGACCATCTTACAATCCATTTGATGAGAGAATACACAAACATTTGTTTCAGAAAGACTATCACCAAGTTTGAATTTACCACATCCAACAGGTAAGTCTCTCTTTACCCAATCATTCTCATCTTCATCATCTGGATCAGCCTCAAGCCAAGTCATGCGTACTTTAAATGGATTAATAGAGTACACTTTTCTGATCTGAGCGTAAAATCTTGGCAGACCCTCATCCTCGTAGCATGCCCAGATCTGACCTATTTCAAAACAACTTGCTTCCCTTAACAGGTCAAAGTTATTGAATTCAAACTCAGGAACAACAAAGGACTTAGTACATGAATCAACATCTGATTCAGAGACATCAACTGCTCCAAACTTTCCAGCGACTTCATTGGGTGCAATAGGTTTCTGTGCTGCAGTCTGAGATGTACAAGACTTCTTTTCCATGACAGAAGGACCCGGTGAAGGAACTTTTTCCTGCTCATTCATAGGATGAGCAGAATTGAGAACATCCTCGCATTCTGGTTTTCCTTCTCTCTGAGGACTTTCTTTACGAGGCCTTTTAGGAGGACTCTCAAAGTCGTCATCGTCACTCCCATTCTCATTGTAGGAGACGTGATGTTTTTGCCGATCGGACCTCCTGACAAAGTGCGAAGTATTACCTTCAGAACTCAACCCTGTTGCATGGCCAGAACAAGACTTCTCAGTTTCTAACTCTTCGATGGTGTTATCATCAGATATATCACAACTTTCATCAGAATCCAGCTCCGACTTCTTCCCTCTCTTCCGACTTTTTTTGGTAAAACCTGTTTCATTCGGCAATTTTACATCTTCCGGCAACACAGTACCTTCCTTTTTACCATCTTTAGTCTTGTTAGCATTACCAGTACTTCTCAATTCAGTCTCTGAAACAGACCCAGCCGATGCATTGCCAGCATGCGACGCCATCGGTACCCCAGTTCTTGGTCCAGAAGAACCGTAGCTCCCCTGAATTGGATCACCTTTTTGTTTAGCAGGTTGACTCTGGTTAAATGGGGGAGGCACGCCTCGGGGAGCAGCACGACTCTGACTTGAACCAGAAACACCATGAGGACCTAAATTATAAGCAACATATGGATTATGGCATTTCTGACAGCGCAAAATTTTGTTCTCAACATTTTTATAGAACTGGTATCTTATCTTGCAAATGGGACAGCACGTCCAGAAGGATTCACTACCAGTGGCTGTAGCTTGAGTTGCTTGATGGTTTGCACTACTAAACTGAGAATACACCCCATTTGGAGCACTATTCTGGCCAGGAAATTGCTTCTTACCAGGGGGATTCAGATTAACCTTATGAGAAGGTGGCCTATTTTGAGCAAACTTAAGTGCAACCCCAACTTTAGCATCATACTGAGACCTACTATTATAATCTGAAAGAACACGATGGGCTTCTCCAATTAGCTTAAAAGCAGCTTCCGCTCCAGGAAACTTGTTCTTATCAGGATGCAGTACAAGTGCAAGTTTCCGATATTGTTTTTTAATGGTTGCCTCATCCACCGATCTTTCAACCTGAAGAATGCTGTACCAATCTTTTTCAGATCCCAACATCTTGCTTTCAGCTGAGCAATGCACATTACAAACAGCTAACAACTGTGAAATGTTCTCAAGTTCAGGGAAAAGACTCTGTGCTCTCAATGCAATTCTTCGAGCCCCTTCAAAATCATTACTATGCAATTTCCTCTCAGCAATTTCCTTGGCCCTGACAGCCTCATCTTTGTTACACTCCATCAACACAGGAATCAGAGCTATCAACCAATCTGAATATTCTTGGACAATAGCATGACAAAAAGAATGACAAATTCTTCAAACGCCAGCCAGTAAGCAATTGACCTATAGGAAGCAACTAACTTCCACTCTTATTTCCAGAACTCGCCAATAAACAAAGACGTATACCTGTCTGAGCCACCAAAAAAAAAAAAAAAATTCTGAACTAGAGGTGTTCGAGAAATAATGATAACACACTAAGCAAATTGATAAGTATCCCTAAACTATCTGAACATGAATAATATAAAGAAATTAGAGCTTATATCAACCAGTTCAGAGCAAATAAATATATTATAGAACTGAAAATGTCTAAACATTTAAGTTCAAACCATAGCAATAGTACACATTATGAAAATCATACTAAAGAGAGAGGGAGAAAGAAATAAAGTTACCTTTTCTAATCTATTTCTTGATCATCTGCACATCTTAATAATTTGCGACAGCATCCACAACATCTTCTACTCCTCGCACCCTGCTAATCTCGATTTGACATACCGTCATCTTAACTTACGAATCTGCTTTATCCAAACCTGAATAAACATCTTAATTATTTTCGACACAACTTGCCATTTTCAAGAGACTGATCAAATTTGCATCCAGTCCAAACATAACTTGGGCAATACATACAAAAGACAAAACATTAAAAAAAAAAAAATCACCATGCTTTCAAACAAAATCTATGTTCGTTTGGTTTTGATTAAATTTGTTTATATATCTCAGGTGCATCTAGGATTGTCTGAAGAAGAAATGATGAGAGTTTGTAGCTGCTTAAATTATGAGAAGCTATCATAAGAAGTTTATAACCACTTTCCTAAGAACAAGAAAAACCCTATCAAAATCAACCGCATAAGCTCTTACTTCCGGACTTCTCAATAGGGGAAAATTCAAATTTCAATTTTCAACATCTATGTTCATAACTTTTAGTAAACTATACATACGTTCTTCGCTTTCTATAGCAGTAAATAGAAGGGATTAAAACAAAACGAACCCAATTTAGACTGAACCCACTGAAAATCCCTATCCAGGCATCAGGGAAAAAGGAAAAAAAAAAAAAAAAGAAAAAGAAAAGCCAAGATCATACAAAACAGCGGCACTAACTAACCTTTACGGGTGGCGAGAAGAAGAAAAAGCACAATTCGTGGTCGAGATTCCGAAAGCCACCGATGATAAACCCTCTCACTTGGGCGAAACTCTCAATTCCTGGATCTTTTTGAGCTCTTACTCGGAAGAATTGTTGGAGTTTCTGCGGAGCAGCTAGGCGTTGGGAGGCATTAACTTCATTCCTTTACAGAGACGGCGATGGCCAGCAAGGATTTGGAATGGCGGAGCTTGAGCTAGGGTTGGCTAAAAAGAGGGGGAAAAAACCGCGGGATGAAATTTGGGGGAGAAAAAGATGGCCGCTAAAACCAAAAATTTTCAAGGAACATTGATTATTTCAGTTGCAGCATTGATTATTTTCATAAAATTCGCGTGTGAACTAATGAAAATGGACAATACTATATGGCACCCTTAAGCCCTTTTTGTTTCAATGTTCGATCCTATAAGAATGTAAATAATTTCAAATACATCCTCATCAATAAAATATTTGTCTTTCTCAAAAATCACCAAATAATTTAACTTTTCAAAGCCTAAGAAAAAGTTTCCTTTTCAAATTAAAATAAGATATTATTATTAATAAATTATGTAACTGCAGCTTGAATTTGCATTTTATCCTTTATCATTGTACCGAAGGTCGAACATTTTGCTGGCAAAAGAGCAAAACTTCTACTTGGAAGTGGAGAGGTTTCCTTCTAGTTTGTTAACGGGTTGTAAACATGGCAAAATATGGTCCTGCAATTGGATGGTGGTCTGTCATATAAGGATTTGCGGGTTAAGGAATCTTGTGATGATAAAGAATCTTATTTGAACGAAATAAATGTTTTGTTTTTTGTTTTTTTTTTTTTTGTAGCCGCAGATATTACAAGATTTGGAGAATTTGGATTTGATTGTTTCCAAATAACAAAAATCGCCGTATCTAGAAGCCACCAATATCTAGAGACTTCCAACTTGCTACAGCATACTCATAAATCAGATAAGTCAATGAAAAACTCCCAATCATTCAAAATTTTTGAAACAAATTCACTCCTATAAAAAATCTTTTAGAAGTTGTTTAACAAAACAAAATAGTTCCTTTTCCAAAAATTTCTTGAAGGATGAGTTTCAAATCTCAACCCTCTCAAGCCACACTGTCTTGAGGTGCAAGAAAACATAACGCATGTATTTTGTAAGTGCTCTCAAACATGAAAGATATGGAACTATTTTTCCATTTTGCTTGAATTGTTTTTGCATATTCATCCAAGTCCATGGAGCAATTTGTAGGCTTGATTTTTCTATTAGAACCTTTAACAAAGAAAATTACCATTTATAATTTATCCCACCTTCATAATATAGGAGATATGGAAGAATCATAATAAGTGTATCTTTGAAAGTAAGTTATTCTCCCTGATATTTGTAAAGTCGTGAAATTATAATTAATATTGCTATAGTCTTAAGTGTTCATGAGTTGCAGGCAAATTCTAAGATGGAGGTGAAGGAATAGAGAGCATTTCTATGTCTAACTTTCACAGTATAATTTAAAAAAAAAAAAAAAAATTGCAGATCTTTGTGTTGGGATCTACCGGACCTTGGAAAGTTTATTTTAAACAGTGATGGATCAAACTTTAGGAGCTCTTTGAGTTGTTGGTTGGGGTTATGTGATTCGAGATGAACAAAGAGCTTTCATTAGAGCAGCATGTAAGCATCTTGGAGAAAATCTTAGCATAATAGCAGAAATTGAAGTTAGTTGAAGTTCATACAGACAGCAAACTTGTGGTTCAGTCACTCTGTAATGGCAAGAACTTTCCTTAGCGGCATCAAACATCTTTACGTAAAATCAAAAGTATTTTAAATCATACAATATTTATAATTCAACATATTTTCAGAGAAATAAATATTTTGGCTGATGGATTATCAAAGCAATCATCTAACGGTTATTGAATAGAATATGATAGTCTAAGTTAACTTCCTAATTACATCAGACGTACCCTGTACTTATATCAACGACCATTTTCATACCTTCGTTTAAAATAAGAAGCATGTAATAGTTATAGAACCCTCATGTAATAGTTAGGAAATTGTATTTATTTCTTATATTTTGTTTGAATAGAGATGTCATGGGATTTTTTGAAAAATCTTTGTATGACAGTTATTTCCTTTGCACATATCTTAAACACTATCTCTTATACCCTTGCATTTTATTTAATAAAATCGAGGAATGCAAGTCAGATACCGTCCTGCATTAACCTTAAAAAAATATGTGCCGGTAGTAGTAATAGAATTAATGAAAGTGTGATGTCCATATGAAAGATCGGGAAGCCTCAGTAGTTGAGAAGATTCAAGAAAATTATTATTCGATGCCCAAAAGGATTCCTTAGAAAACTTGTATAGCCAAGTGTAGAAAATAGTAAAATTCTACGGAAACTGAAAATGTCGAATTAAGTACTAATAATCACAACTAATTTAGTTTGAAGTTTATTAAATGCACAACTAAATCAATTTAGATACATTCTTTGCAAAAACTCCAAATTGACCCTTAATTGGGACATCTATCTACCATCTGACTTGCACTCTAGTCTATATTCTATAGGGATGTTTGGTCATGCCCTGGCCCATATATGTATAATCAACCATATTTTTTTAAGAAAAAAAGGAAGAGAAGAAGAAAGAAATATTATTACTGTATTGATATTTCCTTACAGAGATTTATTGTATTTATTACTCCTATCATTATGGGTTAACTTATTATCCCAAGATTTTTTTTTGTCAATCAAAAAATAGGCGTACATAGAATCTACTTCTATGCACTTCCTACACAAACAAACCAATACTATTCTGGAATCTTATCATAAAATAAGACCTACATACTTTGTACTTCTAGCACCGTTTCTACACTCGAAAGTTCTTCTTCCACCAACGAGTCATCAGGCTTCTCCTTCTACTCATACTGGTGTTGCGTTTTCTCATCTCTTTTTTCACCAACAAAATTATGTGGCACCAGCATCCTGAGTACGATCCGCCCCAAGCCTATCTCTTCTTTTTTCATAATCTGCATGCGACTGATAATTCCTTTTCCTCCACCTCAAACTAGTAACCCTCAGGAAATAGATGTGCAAAGATGCACATCTGGTCGGCTAATTTATCTACACGATCATGCCTAAATTGGATATCAAACTCACAATCCAACTCTTTTATCAACTCTTTTAATTAAGTTGATTATGTTCTTGACTAAACAGTTGTGATTATTGTACATCACTATTTCATGTAGATGGGAACCACCACCTCAGGGTTGTGTAAAATTAAACGGTGTTGCAATAAAGATAGCTGAACATCTTGTAGGGTGATTCGAGACGATAAAGGAAGGTTTCAAGGAGGATTTTATCTCACAAAGAGAAATCCAGAGTTGAAGAACTCGCATATTGCAGAATTAAAAGTGTTTCGGTATGGGATTTTGATGATGCGTGTCCTCATGAAGCGTGATCCAGAAAAATTTGGTAATGTGCTACTTTTTGGACACAATCTCAGCACCGTAAGATCACTAATTCAAGAAATAAGTTCATTATACAGAAGTCTCATACAGGACCATTGGCAACTGTATAACCAATCATATTTATATTGTCAATATAAATGAAAAGTATTATAAGTATAAAGATTCAAAGAGAAAAATTATTATTTAGAAGAAAAGTACAGGAACCAGAAAAACTGAATAAGTTTATTATTTTGAAATGGTGAAAAAGCTTTGCAAACAGCTACCAATTGTCATAAATGGACATTCTTCATATAAGTAAAATGTTATATTTAAGAAATTTGTAATTGAATTGCTAATAATAACTTGCATGAATAGTTAATTACTACTACTAAGTGGTGAAGCAAATCCATATATAAGAAATCAATATAATGCAACAAGATATGAAATATCAATCAAAATTGTAATGTTGGAAAAAATATATGGAAGTTATGAAGATTACTTCAATCAAGTTTCTCTAATCGATATCCTCCAAAGATCACATGAACTTGATACTTTCAAAAGTTATGAACATATACATCCTCATCAATAAAATATTTGTCTTTCTTAAAAGTAACCAAATACTTGACTATTAACTTTTCAAAGCCTAAGAAAAAGTTTAATTTCAAATTAAAATAAAATATTATTATCGATAAATTATGTAGTTGTAGCTCTAATTAGCATTTTATCCCTTGTCATGTACAAATGGTCAATCATTTTGCCAGCAAAAGAGCAAAATTTGTACTTGGAAGAGGATCCTTCTAGTTTGATAGCTGGCTGCAAACGGGACAAATATGGTGCTTAAATTGGAAAGAGATCGTTCATATAAAGATTTGCGGGTTAAGGATTTATGGTGCTTAAATTGGAAAGAGATCGTTCATTTAAAGATTTGCGGGTTAAGGATTTTTGTAATCATAAAGAATCTTATTTGAACGAAATAAATAATTTTCTATAGCCGCAGGTATTACAAGATTTAGAGAATTTTTCAAATAACAAAGATTGGCATATCTAGAAATCACAAATCTAGAGACTTCCGACTTCCAACTTCCTACAGCATACTAAAAAATTAGATAAGTCAATGAAAAAACTCTCGAGCATTCAACATTATTGGAACAAATTAACTACCATAAAAATATCTTCTTCTTTTTTTTGTAGAAGTGATTTAACAATAGTTCTTTTTCCAGAAATTGTAAAGGACGGGTTTCAAATCTCAATGCTCTCGTTACCCATGTTGTCTTGAGGTGCAAGAAAGCATAGTGCATGTATTTTTTAAGTGCCCTCAAACAATAAAGATATGGAACTATTTTTCCATTTTTCTTGGATTGTTTTTGCCTATTCATTTAAGTCTATAGAGTGATTTCTAGGCTTGGCTCTCTCTTACAACCTTAATTAGCAAAGAAAATTATCATTACGATTTACCCTGCCTTAATAATGTAGGAGATATGGAAGAGTCATAGTAAGTGTATTTTTTAAAGTAATTTATTTTACGTGGAATTTGTGAAGCCGTGATATTAGAATTAGCATTGCTATGATTTTAAGTGTTCATAAGTTGCAAGCAAATTCTTAGATGGAGGTGAAGGAATTGAGAGTATTTCTATGTCCAACATTCATAGTATAATTTTTTTTTTTTTTAAAAAAAGGTGCGGATCTTTGTGTTTAGTTGCTACCGGATCTTGGAGAGTTCATTTTAAATAGCGATGGATCAACTTTAGGAGGTCTTTGAGATGTTGGTTAGGGTTATGTGATTTGAGTTGAAAAAGGAGCCTTTATTATAGCAGCGTGTGAACATATTGGAGAAAATCTTAGCATAATGGAAGAAATTGAAGTTAAAGTTCAAGTTCATATTGACAGCAAACTTGTGGTTCAGTTACTC